AACAGCTAGAAGGGCACCAGTCACATATGGGGAATAAGTGCAGTGACTTGAAAAAGGACAAGTGCCGGGCAAACCTCCAGAAGCCAGGCAGCAGTACCGTTCCCACTCCAAACCCTCCCCATACACAGAGCCACAAAGTGGTGAAGTAGGTTGCCCTACCCTAGAGATTACCTAAGGCTCTGCCTCACACAATTTACAGGTGCCTTTTCTACAATATACCAGAGTAAGACTACTAAGACTACACTACTAGACAGGGAATCAAAGCAGTTCTACCTAATACACAGAAACAAACAGAGGAAGGCTGCCAGATTGAGGAGGTGAAGACATATGGCCCAAGTGAAAGAACAGGAGAAAAAAAAAAGACAGAAAAAGAACTAAATGAAATGGAGATAGCCAACTTATCAGATACAGAATTCAAAACACTGGTGATCAGGATGCTCAAAAAACTCATTGAGTATGGCAATAGCATAAGAAAGACCCAGGAAGAAATGTAGTTTGTGTTACATGAAATAAGAAAAATCTACAACAGTGGAGAACTAACAGTGGAGGAGATGAAGCCAATATTCAGATCAACAATTTGAAACATAAGAAAGAAATAAACATTCAACCAGAACAGCAAGAAAAAGAAAGAATTCAAAAAAACAAAGATAGTATAAGGACCCTTGGGATATCTCCAAACAGACGAACATCCAAATCATAGAGATGCCTGAAGGAGAAGAGGAAGAGCAAGAAATTGAAAAAATAATGAAAGAAAACTTCCTTAATTTGGTGAAGGAAATACACATACAAGTCCAGGAAGTGCAGAAAGCCCCAAATAAGTTGGACCCAAAAAGGGCTGCACCATGATACACCATAATTAAAATGCCAAAGGTTAAAGATAAAGAGAGAATCTTAAAAGCAGCAAAAGAAAAGCAGAGAGTTACTTACAAAGGAGTTCCCATAAGACTATCAGCTGATCTCTCAAAAGAAACTTTGCAGGCTAGAAGCAACTGTTAAGAAGTAGTCAAAGGGATGAAAAGCAAGGACCTACAACCTAACTTACTCTATCCAGAAAAGCTATCATTTAGAATGGAAGGGCAAAAAAAGTGTTTCCTAGACAAGGTAAAGCTAAAGGAGTTCATCATCACCAAGCCATTATTACCTGTTAAATTATTACCTGTTAAATTATTACATGTTAAAGAGACTTATTTAAGAAGAAGAAGAAGATCAAAACTATGAACAATTAAAAGGGCAACAAACTCACAACTACCAACAACTGAACATAAAAAACAAACTAAGCAATCAACCAGAACAGGAACAGAAACATAGGTATGGACATCATTCAGAGAGTTATCAGCTGGCAGGGGGAAGGAGAAGAATGGGGGTAAAGGTGCAGGGAATAAGAAGTATAATTGATAGGTACAAAATAGACAGGATGTTAAGAATAGTACAGGAAATGGAGAAGCCAAAGAACTTATATGCATGATCCATGGACATGAACTAAGGGAAGTGGATTGCTGGAGGGAATGGGGATACTAGTTGGGAGGGAGGGGCAAAGGGGGAAAAATTGGGACTATAATAGCATAACTAATAAATTATATTTTTAAATGAATGGGTTAGATCTACATGTAAAAAACATGAATATAGTGCATCTCAATAAAGATATTAAGCACAAAAAAAAAAGTTCAAGCTGACATATGACACAGACTGTTTCCAAAAATCAGTCCAAAACAAAAAGACAGAATGTGATATGTGTAAATCTACATGTGGTTTCACATGCCCCAAAGAAAAAGCAGAGAACATCAAGGCCAACCAATATGTTATTTAAACATATTGGACAGCTTTTGCTGCCAAATTTGAATAAGAGACAGTTCACCACTCTAGGTTTCTTCTCAAAAATCTTTCAACATTCCCCTGTCACCAATTGTTGAAATCCAAACTCCTTAGCTCCTGACAATTTAGTCCATAAATAACTTTCAGCTTTATGCCTAACCACTGATAACGCAAGCACACTATATCAGTTACATTTAGCATGGCCTATGTGGTAGCCAGCATCAAGGATGGCCTCTAATGATATTCCTTTCTGAATAATCATACCTTTGGGTAGTCCCCCTCCTCATTGTATCATGGCTGGCCTGCATGACCGCTAGTATACAGCAGAGGTGAAGGATGTGTGATCTCTAAGACTAGAGTTTGAAACGCTTTGCAGCATCTGCCTTGCTCCCTTGGATTGCTCTCTTTGGAGGCTGGAGGAAGCCACTCATCATGCTGTGAGGACACTCTAGCTACCTTGTAAAGAGCTACTCGTGGAGAACTGAGGCCTCCCACCAATAGCCAGCACTAATTCATCCTCTGTGTGAGTGAGCTACTTTGGAAGTTGATCCCTCAAAGTCAAGCCTTCAGATGACTACAGCCCCAGCTGACATCTGACCACAGCCTCATCATGAAAGACACTGAGTCAGACTGCTCAGCCACACCATCCCCAATTTCCTGACCCAGAGAAATCATGGGAGCTGAAAAATAATTATTCTTAGGTTTTGTTTGTTTGGGGGCTTTTTAAAGATTTTATTTATTTATTTTTAGAGAGAGGGGAAGGGAAGGAGAAAGAGAGGGAGAGAAACATCGATGTGTGGTTGCCTCTCATGCGCCACCGCCCCCACCTCCTGCCGGGGACCCAGCGCCTCAACCCAGGCATGTGCCCAGACCAGGAATCAAACCAGCAACCCTTCGGCTCACAGGCCGGCATTTAGTCCACTGAGCCACACCAGCCAGGGCAGTTTGTTTGGGGTTTTAGTATAGGCAATTTTTAATTTTTTAAATGTGTTTATTGACTTGAGAGAAAGAAAGAGAAACATTGATTGGTTGCTTCCCATATGCGCCCCAACCAGGGATCGAACCCACAACCTAGGTATGTGCCCTGACTGGGAATCAAAGCCCCAACTTCTTGGTATATGGGCTGACACTCCAACCAACTAACCACACTGGCCAGAGCAAGTACAGTATAGATAATTCTTTAGAGCAGTTTTAAGTTTACAGCAAACTTGAGGGAGAGATTTCCCATATACTTCCTACTCCCACATATGCATAGCCCAGTGATTTTCAACCTTTTTCACCTAATGGTGCACATAAACTAATTACCAAAATTCTGCAGCAAACTAAAAAATAAATTATATTTTTGCCAATCTGACAAAAAAATAAGCATAACTGATTTATTCACACCAGACAGCTATTGTTGTGTTGGCTATTGTCACTTTTTTATTTGACAATCCAAGGGAAAAAGGATCAGTGCCCCTTACTAAATATTCAGGTATAACATGTTTTAAAAATTCTTGCAGCACACTGGTTGAAAATCACTAGCATAGACTTTCCCAATTTTAACATCTTCCACCAAAGTAACATATTCGCTGTCTTCATAGTGTTGCCTTTTCCAGAGCATCATATAGCTGGAATCATACAGTATGTAGCCTTTTCAGACTAGATTCTTTCACTTAACAGTATGTGTTTACGTTTCCTTCATGTTGTTTCATGGTTTGATAACTCATTTCCTTTGAGTACTGACAAATATTCTCTTGTCTGGATCGGCCACAGTGTATTCGTCCACCCACCTATTAAAGGATATCTTGACTGCTTCCAGATTTTAGCAATTATGAATAAAGCTGCTATAAACATCTATGTCTGGGGTTTTGTGTGGACCTACTTCTTGGCTCCTTTGGATAAATACCAAGGAGCATAATTGCTAAATTATACAATAAGAGCATGTTTAGTTTTGTAAGAAACTGCCAAACCATCTTCCACAGTGGCTGCACAATTTTGCATTTCCACTGACAATGATTATTGCTGTTTTAAGGCATTATGTTTGGGTAATTTGTTATGATAGTTAATACAACCTACAAATGAACACGTCTGGAATGTCTTCTACATCTCTTTGTAATTTTTAAAAACTCCAAATTGCTCTCCAAGTGCCAACTCAAGCCGTCACATTATCTGAGAAGCCTGCCCTGATTTCCTATTCAGACCCGGGCTCTCTCGCACATAGCTCTATTAAAAGTTCTCACACTCTAAACCCATTAATGTTTATGTGGTTATTTCTTCCATTATAGCTTATTGAAGGCAACAGTTTTGAATTATCCAAATGTATATTCCCAAGACAGAATGGTACATGCCACATTAAAAGGAGTTTAGCAAATGTTGATTGAATAAATAAAGAACTTGCATTTCAGCTCTGGACAAGTAAAAGAATGCTTTACACTGATCTGAGAAGCAAAGAATGGGTAAAAAAAGAAGGAAATAGTGGAGAGAAGGACCAAAGATATTACTGCAGAACTAGCTCTTCGCTCTTTTGTTCACTTTGAAAACTCCTTTCCCTGGTCATAAAAATGCCAACGAAACCTAGATAAGCAGTAGCGGATTGCTCCATAGTGCCTTTAGCTCTAAAAAATTTAACCTGCATGTAGAAAAGTATACAAAGCATTGCAACATAAAACTGGAGCAATAATGTGGCCAAAAGTTGAATGCTAGGGCCATGGTGAAGAGAGGGACAAAGGCTGGTTCTTGATAGCCTCTAGAGAGAAGGAAGGAAGATCTGTTTGTAGACATTTCCTGCTCACAGACAGAGCAAGAGGAAATGCGGTTTTAAAAGGGGCCCACCAGTGAGGTTAAGAAAGCCACGGGCTGGGGGTCTCTTTCCAGAATTTTGATAATGAAAATTATTTTAGGGGTAGAAGAAAGGTCTCAGAGGTAAGGCACTGAGTCTAGAAACAAACTGGAATTTGAGTAAAGGTGGCACTGATGTTCAGTTAGAACATAGAAAGGAAAGGTGGATGTTAGACAGATTTAGAAAGTGATGTCAAATAAACTAAAAAAAAAAAAAAAATGTCTGAAGGCTTTCTTAGAAATAAATGATAAAGATTTTTTCAAGGGTCTTAGAGTTTGCAAACTAGGAACATGGCTAGAAATAAACCAAGAACTGTTCCAAAAAAGAAAGAAAAGTTAAGAGTTCTGATAATAAAAAGTGCATTCTTGTGCAAATCCAGTCACTAACTCTACATGATATTGCAAAAGTGAGGGGAATCAGATTTGCTAAAGTAACTGTGGTGATAGAAATGCTATTAGCCTCAGAAGCTACTGAGGTGGTCCATTCCATTCTAGTACAATGCAAAAAAAAAAAAAAAAAATGCATTCTTAAGAATAATCAGTCCTGCATTCTTAGGACTACAATTGGTCCAGGATAGTTAACAGTCATATGCTGAGATGTCTGGACAATCGATGCCAGGTGGCTTAGAAGATGAGCACCAGGAGGTCTGGTCACATTCAGTAGTCTGGGTGATGGATGTGTTGGGGCGATGTTAAGTGGCCTGGATTCAGGAGTCCCTCAGGGGATAATCAGAGGATTATCTGGAGGTCTGGTGTAAATATGGGTATTGACACATAATGAACTCAAGTATATCCAGGGAATGACATAGGACTGGAAAGTTCAAGAGTTTAAGTTCCCAAGCTAGTTAGCAAAGAAATGATATCATTTCCTCATGCCTTAACCTATTGGATTTTAGTAATTTAGCAGCTTAACTATATGACTCCCTTTTATTTCTTTACTCTTTTCCTCAGTAAAAATTGAAGACAAATTGTGATTTAGTTATCTGAACAACACAACAAATAAGATAGCATTAATAGATATATGTCAAAGATTAACTTTTAGAAATAAAATAAATTTTTTTAAGAATTTAAGCACATTTTACAAAAACAGTTTTAGCCTTATGCCCCAAAATGGCAGAAATCATACATGCCATAATCTCCGATCATGATACACTAAGGTAAAATATAGAAAATGTCAAAAATACAACTAAAAATGCTTAATTTTGAAAATTGACATTTTAAGCCCATAGATGAGTTAACACATAGTATAATAACATGTAAAATACTTTAAAATAATAATAATAAAATACTAATAACAACTGACATTGATTGAGCATTTACTCTGTGTCAGTAGTAAGTGCTCTGCATGTGTTAACTCATCTAAACCTTCAAAGAAATCCCATGAAGAAGATATCATTCCCATTTTGTAGATGAAGAAACTGAGGGGCACAAAAGCTATGTAATTATATACCATGTTTTTTATATCTTTTGGGTGCTTTGGGCTACAAATAATAGAGATCCCAAGTCAAGAAATAGCCAATGAGCCACATCACAGAATAAGACCAAAGGGGGACTCCAGAGTTGGGTATTCAGCAGCTCAGTGGAAGTATTAAGGACCCAGTGATTTCGTATCATTTTACTTGCATTCCATAATTATGCTAAACTAAATCATTCTTAAGTTCCTCTTTACTATTGTAAAGATTCTCCTTGCTCCTTTACCTAAAGCATTTCACTTCCACAATATCTATTGCTTTAGTTTGCTTAGACTCTTTCTGAACCCTTACAATTGAATTCATAAATTCCTTATTCATTTGTTCATTAAAATATTATGTATTGAGCAACTATTATGTGTCAGGCATTAGGGATCTAGAAATAAGCAAAATATACAAAGTCCCTGCCCTCATGTACCTCACATTCTATCTGGGGCATATAACAGACACTGTCAGCACCCTGCTCTCAAATCCCTCAGATACTAACACCTTCAGACCCCGCAGGTCAAGCTCCAGATGGCTGCTAAGCCCATAACCCATAAAGCCGGAAGTGTCACTCTGCTCCCAAAGTAGCTCTCAACCAACTGCTTTCAGAAGTTGCTATATAAATACCCCAGTTTACTTGCACCTTAAGTGGGATAATTCAGAGATATGTATTTTTCAGCATTTCCTAGAGTTCCCCCTCTGGATTAAGGTCTAGTCACTCCCTGAAGTAACTGGCTTAATAGCGTGCCCTTCGTACAAAGTTACAAAGGCTGAATAAATTCTAGAGATTTAATGTATAGCATGGTGGCAGTAGTTAATAATACTATGTTGTATACTTGAAACATTCTAAGAGTAGGTCTTAAGTGTTCTCACCACAGGAAAAATAATGACTATGTGAGATGATGGGTATGTTGATTAGCTTGATTGTGGGTGATCATTTCACAGTGTACACACATATCAAATCATCACACTGTACACTCTAAATATATGCAATTTTTAATAGGACAAAAGCCACTTTCTCAGGCCCTCTTTCCCAGAGCTAGCTAGACCTCCAAGCATGACTGACCCTAATTGTTATCCTCGGGACTAAAAACTACCGGAAACTCCCTAAAGGCGCACAGGCTCTGGGAACTCACAAAACAGGACATGCCAGGACACAACTGACCACCAGACCCTGCACCCAGAGAGAACATCAAAACAAGCTGCAGCCCAACTGAAACATCCTGCTCTACAACTATCCCATTACCCAACAAAGACTCAAAGCCTTAACCCCTCAGGGCTGGTGACCGTGCATATCTCCACATCCAGCCCTTTCCTTCCCTTGGGAAAATAAAAATAATACCTTTACTCTCTGCACTTTCTTATCTTTGTGCATTCTTTCACAGCCTTCATTACCGACCCATCTAACAATTTTTATGTTTCAATTATACCTCAATAAAAAGGGGGAAAATGAAAAAATGCACCCTTAGGTGGCTGCCTTTCCTGCCTTGCCCCTCGGCCAGTGACCCCTGCACCACACTCCTTGTACTGGAATCCTTGTCTCAGAGCCTGCTCCTGGGAGCATGCAGGCCAAGGCAGAGAGACAGCTGATAAGCAAGAATGGGGAAACTAACTGCTTTCAGGAAGTCAGACATCAGCCATGTGAAATGCTGCTGACAGGTTAAGATTAAAACAGAAGCATGTCCATTGGATTTAGCAACACAAACTTGACCTTGACAAAGGCTCTGGTAGAGAAGTGTGGTGTGGAAACACCATACAGCTGTGGCTTGAAGAGTTAAAAAAAGAAACAAAATAGCTGTAGCCTTGGCACCAGGACGGAGAGACAATGGCTTTGGGGGCTGGGGCCACGGAAGACCAGCAGATAGGAGATGAGAAGGACAGGTAACCCACTGGACGGAACACCTTGTAACGGGTGTGGAACGAGGTTCAGGGCAGAGTGTAGGCTGAGAAACCCCAAAACCCCACGGCCATCGCTTGGGGGATGGGGAAGTGGATGGAGCAGTTGAGAGGCACTTTGCATAGATATGTTAGCTTCATAGATATGTTAGGAGGCTGTGGCTGATGCTTGGAGCCAGGGAGATGGGCATGACTTTGACTCTTGATGTAGGAGGAGGGGCTTGCTGCGCCTGCCGGAGAGCAGGAAGGTGGTTCCCCTACTTCACGGGGCCAAGCCTGTCCGGGCTAACGATGGCAGCCAGAGAAGGGCGGAAGACACCAGAATACTGGTAGGTGTAACCCTTTGTGGGAGAAGTCAGAAATGGGGTCAGAGGAGGAGCAGGGCAAGGATTTAATTAAACTCAAGATCTGCAGTTTTGCCCATTCTTCACGTCACTTTAAATTGGAGGTGATGTTAAAGTTTTGAATTATGTTGAACTGCACAGTTTTATGCCTGTAAATGAGACTGTTCTTCAGTTTAAAGTGACCTAAAAGCTGTGCAGTCCTCCAGAGCAGGGGTCCCCAACCCCCAGGCCACAGATCGGTACCCATACGTGGCCCATCAGTAACTGGGCAACAGAGCAGGAGGTGAGCAGCTGGCCAGTTCACTGACATTGCTGCGTAAGCTCTGCCTTTTGCCCTCCTGTCCCGTCTGTGGAAAAATTGTCTTCCACAAAACCTATCCCTGGTACCAAAAGGTTGGGGACTGCTGCTCCAGAGCACGGCTGAAACTACTGGCAAAAGATAGTTTCTTGATATAACTCCTCAAGTCCAACCACTTTGAAGTTTTAACCACTTTATGTTCATACAGTCCTCCAAGTCCACCTCTTTTTCTTCAAATCCACAAGTTAATGGTAATACCATTAAAAATTTAAAGGCACACATACTAGGTCACAGATGCTCCACCACTCAGTATCTACCATAGAGAAACCTTTTGCACATGTGCACATAGAGGCACGTACAAGGATGTTCATTTCAGCATTGTTTGCAATAACAAAAATTCAAAACAAATAAAGCACTTAAACATGGAGGTCATGATTAAGTAAGCAATGGCACAGTCATATGGTGGAATACTACATAGCAGTTAAAAAGGAGAAGGCATGCTCTATATGGTACCATGAACAGATCTGACTATATGAATGAATAGAAAAAGTATTACACAACATGTCATATTCACGTAGAATATGACACCATTTATATAAAAGAAAAACACAGTATTATATACTTTCTGTGGGACATAAACATGTACAGAACGTCTGGAAAACTACTCACCAGACTGACAACAGGGATTATTTCTAATGAGGAAGGAAGATGAGAAGTTAGGATAGGGGACCATGGTCAGAAAACTGTCCCCTTATCCATAAGATATTAAGTATATTCATGCAATATTTATACTTTTAATTTTTTTTAAAGATTTTATTTATTTATTTTTAGAGAGAGGGGAAGAGAGGGAGAAAGAGAGGAAGAGAAACATCAATGTGTGGTGGCCTCTCGCATGCCCCCTACTGGGGACCTGGCCCACAACTCGGGCATGTGCCCTAGACTGGGAATCAAACCAGCAACCCTTTGGTTTGCAGACTGCTCTCAATCCACTGAGCCACACCAGCCAGGGCTATATTTTTAAATTTTTTAAATAATTTTAAGACCTTATGTACCTGAGAATCTGAAAGCCTAGATCCAAACAGCCAGTACTAATGTAAAATTGTATGGACCTCTTATTTTTTTAAATCATTTTTTGAAGATTTTATTTATTTATTTTTTAAGAGAAGGAAAGGAAGGGAGAAAGAGAGGGAGAGAACATAAATGTGGGAGAGACACATAGATCGGTCACCTCTCGTACACCCTCAACTGGGGTCCTGGCCCACAACCCAGGCATGTGCCCTGACTGGTAATCAAACCGGCAACCTTTGGGTTTGCAGGCTGGCACTCAATCCACTGAGCCACACCAGCCAGGGCCAACCTCTCTTATTGAATCTGAAAAATTCATGCAAATTCTGTACTCCATATTATGTTTATTTTACTCTGAACATGATGTTTTCAGTGTTTACTTACTGATTAAATTACACAACTTTCCTGCCACCACTACCATTACCAAAAAGAAGTCTGGCATAAAGCTGGTACTCCGAGAGGCACACTGCACGTGTGTCACCCTTGTTTCTTGAAGATACTCGAACCCCAGGGGAAGAGGCAACCAAGCCTAGTGCACTGCTAATTGTTTTGAGGCCTACAGTTGTGAGGATGAGATAAATGAAAATATAATGTTATTGACACAAAGCAAGCTCTCAATAAATGTCTTTGCTTGCAGTTTAGCACAACACTGGCCGGTGCCAGTTTGTTCTGGTACACACGGAAGTCAAGAGGCACAGAAAACCTCTCGGCAGCCAGTTGCTCTGGGACCCCAGGGATTCCACAAGGCGGGGAGCACTAAAGGCGGAGATTCTAATCCTTTGAGAAAGGAGTGCTGGAGGGACCCACTTCTCTGGCCCCATTTCATCTTCCTACAACCCCAGGGAGGCTCTGGCTGGACCAGGCAGCCACTACCCAACAAGGAACACCCTAATTTGGTAGTGCTCCATCAACTTGCCCTATCATGACTGCCTTTGGCTCAGGGAACTCATCTCTCATTCAGTCAGCCATGGGCGAGGTCACAGGATCATTTCCCTCAATGCCTGCAGCTCACACCAGAGGCGGTGCTGGGGTTAAGAGAGGGTCAGAAATGGTGGTGTTTACCAAGAGTCCTGAAGGATAAGTGGAAGGAAAAAGGCATTCCTGGCAGAGTTGCGTGATATGGGGGGGTTCGGGGCAGTGGCACAAGATAAGGCTGGAGAAGGGCAGGGTGCCTAAAATGCCAAGCCAAAGATGGGACTTTCCTATTAGCAACAGCTGCTGAAAAGTTTTGAGCCCCTGAATCACATGACCGCATTTGTGTTTTCAGAAAGATGCGATGGGCCAAGACCAAAGGCTGGGCGGCCAATAAGGAGGTCACTGTCTAACAATAGGTCAATTGTCTCTTCACACAGATTGAATGAGGAAGGAGTCAGAATGCAATAGTTTTTATTAATGTTGCTGGATTTTACAGCAAAGTAATAACCCTTTTACTTTATTGTTTTATTTTCTAACATGAAAGAGGTTCTCAAATTAATCCCCTCTTCTGTGTCCCAGAGCCGGGGCCCAACAGGCCTTCCTCTAAGGGACACAGCCAGGAGCGCCCCACAAGCCAGACCTTGAGGCCTTTCTTACCCTGCCCACAACCTTCCTTTTGCCCTCTCCGTTCCACTGCCCAAGAAAATTCCCACTCTGGCACCAGTTGCCTGTCACATATCAACAGTAGCATCCCAGCCTGGAGAGCAAATGGCCCCAGGCCATCATCTTCACTTCCGCAAGGAAAAGCAGCAGCCTCCAGGCCCCCCTGCTGAATCCTCAAAGGCCCCTCAGCTTCAGTGGTTGCTCCAAAGACCAGAAACTGGGTCTCTGAACTAAAACCAAGGAAGGTGTGAACCAGCAAATAAGCTTAGGGGCCAACTCAAGGAGATGGGGTGGGGAGCCTTCTATTCTCCACAAGCATCGGGGCCTTGCGTGAGGTTAGCATCAGGCCCTTCTCTTAGTTGGCAACTTGGGAGACCTCCTCAATGTCCAAGGCACTCAGTAAACATATTCCAAAGGGAAAGGGAAATATGTTGGGGGTCACCTATCATGGACTCTGGCAGTTTTTAAATGACTGTGGAACGGAGGAGTGTATTTTGGATTTTCCATACCTGAGAGCTGACAGCTCTCTGATAACTGACTGCACACTGGGCAGCTGAATGAACAGCTGGGTGCCTCAGTAAGTGATTCTCCAGGGGCAACCTGAAGCATCAGCAACGCCTGTGAACTGTTAGAAAGGCAAATTTTGAGCCTGCCCAAGACTTACTGAATCAGAAACTCAGCCATCTGTGCTTTAATAAGTCACTGCTATGTGCTTTGAAAGGTGGTTTCGGTGCCCACTCCAGTCGGAGAACCACTCAATTCTCCTTTCGTTTGATGAGCCTGCCCGGCTGCTGCAGGTCCTCAGAGAGGGGAGTATGACGCCACAGACGGTCTTCACTCTACAGAGCTCTCCAGCTCCTCCCCTCACCCTCCCCAGGCTTCTGACCCCTCTCCCTCCTTCCCTCAACCTCAGTTTCTTCCTGGAAAACCTGGGCCTCCTAGTTCCCAAACTGGGATTCCCTCATCGACCTGGGTTTAGATCTCCCTTCCCCACCACCACCCCATCCCCTCACTGGCAGCCCCCTATTCATGCCAACCCGCAACTGTTCAAAACTCTTGGGAGTCCCCAGCTCTCTCTTCCCCCCACCCCAACCCTGCACCCCTCCTCAACCCTGCAGGGGCAGGAAGCTCAGGCCTCCTCACCCTCAGGCCCCACAAGCAGCAGTGGCTGAGCATTCTTGCCCTTGTCGTGCCAGCACACATCGAAGAAGGGGTACACAGGCCCAGGCAGGCGCTCGTGGAAAGCAAAGAGCAGCTCAAGTGCATCCCTGTCGCTGGCATCATAGAAGGAGAGGACACCGTCGCTGAAGCTTAAGTAGACCCCGATGCACACCGGCCGCCTCTCTGGGGTGCGCAGTACACGCGGATCCTTGGCTTCCACGTGCGCCTCCAGGATCTTGCCTTCACGCAGCCCGAGCAGCCAAAAGCCCTGCGAGGGCACAGTGTGCAGCCGGCCACGGCGGCTGGCCTGGGCAGTGATCACGCCCAGTGCCCAGCGTGGTTTGTCGCCCACCTCGACCTCCCAGTAGTGTTCACCCTCAGAGAGCAGCTGGTGTGCCACCACCGCCACAGCCTTGTCGAACTGGCGAGGGTCCTCCCCGGCTGGCGGTGCCTTCTGCTCAGAACACTCCACGCGGCGGCCAGAGGGAGACAGCACCAGGCTTGGGTGAGCCGTGCTCGGATCAAAGGTCAGCTCCTTCACCACTACCAGAGGGAGATCAGTCAAGCTCCTGTGTGTTTAACCTCTCGCGAGCTTTTTCCCACAATCAATTTATGGACCAACCTTGTCTCCTCAAATCCTCCAAGCCCCTCTGCAATGTGAACCCCTCTTTGTTTACTGGCTTCAACCAAAGACTACACTTCTCTGAGCTGTAAACTCAGGCCCTAATCCACTCCTTCCAAGGTTGTGAGTGGATTATATTGATACAAGGTATATAATGCAGTATCTAAGGCCCAGGTCACAAAGTAAGAGAGAGTCAGGAAGCCTGGTGCCAGGCCAGCCCCTACCTCACTGGCTGTGATTTCAGTCAGCCTTGACCCAGTCTCTGGGCCTTAGTCTTCTCTTGGATAAAACAGAGGTCCCTCCATTCCCACCCCCCTGCAAGGCAGTGAGGGCTGCTTAGCCACGTGCACATGTCCTGGAGTTCTGTAAACTGAAGCACTCCAATGCACTCGAACTCCTAGGGAGAGAAGGCTGAGCCCTAGGCTGCCCCAGCCACAGGCCACCAGAGTCAGTATCTAGCCCAGGCCAGTCCCCAGGGTTCCAGCTCCACAGACCCTCAGGCCTCAACTAGAGGGATTATCATCTCCTGTCCAGAAGGGGCAGATACTGGCCAAGGATCACACAGGATTCAAACCTAGACCCCAGCCTCCCCGGCTGCCAGCAGCAGCAGTACCCTTCCTGTAAGCAGTGTCCTCTCCATGTCAGTCACCCACCTATAAATCCCATACCCTCCAAGGTCCTTCTCTTAGCGTGGGTACGAGGGTACAGGGGAAATCCTGGAAGTAACGGGGCGATGGGCACCTTCTTTGATGACCTTCCTAGTTGAAACTGGGAGGCCTCTGTGTGGGGCTGCAGCCTTCTATCAACCACATAAGTTAAACCATAAAGCCAGAGTAGCCCTTCCCAGTACCTGGCATCAGAGCACGGAACATCTTCCTCCACACCTGGAATTTGAAGTCATCCGAGATGACAGGCAGCTGGATGTCCAGGCGGGCAGGTGGTGGTGACTCTGCCAGGATCTTCTGCAGCCTAGAAGCGGGGAGGTAAGGGGAGGTGTCTGTGAAGGGACTTCCAAAAGAGGCATGGGGTTGGGGAGAGGACAAGAAGCCATACCCAGGAAAAGAGGAGGACAGGACTGTGATGGAGTTTCAGGATCTCTCCACCTCACACCTGGCTTAAAAGTCCTCTGTTAAATTTTTAGTTTAGAAAGATGAAAAGTTCTGGAGATGGATGGCGGTAATGGCTGCCCAACAACATGAATACAGTTAATGATACTGAACCTAAAATATACACTAAAAAAGTGGTTAAATGGGTCAGTTGTTTGTTATGAGTATTATACTACAGTTTTTCCTTTTTTTTTTTTTTTAAGTCTTTTGCTGGGTCCTGAAGGGTGGGACTCAGTTGGTTGGAGCGTTGTCCTGCAAAGCTCAACATTGCTGCTTCGATTCCCAGTAACGGTACACACCTGGGTTTCAGGTTCGATTCCCCAGTCGGATGTATGCTAAAGGCAACCAATCAATGTTTCTCTCCCTCTCTTACAGCCTCCCTTCTCCTCTCTCTAAAAATAAATATTTTTAAGTCGTTTTTTGGGGGGATACGGTCCAAGCTCCTCAGCTTTCACAGTTTGCCCCCTCCTACCACACCAGCTTCACCTTCTCTCTTCCCTCTTACCAGTCTTTGCACTTGATGTTCCCTCTGCCTGCAATGCTCTTCCCCCAGCTCTTTACCTAGCTGACTCCAGTTCCTCCCTCCAGCGTCCAACTCAAATGTGTACTCCCCTGGAAAGCCTGCCCTGGCCACCCTCTTCCCTCCACACAGCACTGAGCACACGGTGATGCCTACGTCCCTGCCCTCGTCCGTCTGGGAGGTTCCTGAGAAGGGCCAAATCAGGTTCATTTCTATGTTCAACACGAAGTGCAGGGAAATTGTAGTGGACTGAGTGGGGCTAGGCAGGCATGTTGTGAGTAGAGGGTGAGCCAGCCAGTGTCCCTGAAGACCAGGGCAAGTTGGGAAAAGGGAAAGGACAGGATGATCTCACCTGCTGGTCACCAGGCAGTATTTCTGGAGAGAGAGAAAAAGAAAATGGAGGTCAGGCCGGCAGGAAAGACACCAGACACTTCTCAGGATGGGGTGGACCAAGAATGCTAAGTACGGGGTCAGGAAGAATCAGAAAGGCCAAGGAATCCAGAATTCAAGGCCACCTCTAGCCCTTTGTCTCTGTGTAAATTAGAACAAGGTACCCCCTTTCCCAAGAACCTAATTCTATGTGGTAGATGATTGCCTAGGAAATTTACAAACCTACAAGGTCTATGGTGTGAATGGCGCCCGCTTAGATATAGTGCCTTTGTGCGGTGCCTTGTGCGGTATCTAACCTAAACAACCGTAACAGCGGTCCTGGGGCCCACCCCTCCTCCATGTGTGACCCTGGCTTGTCCCTGCCTCTCTCTGGATCTCAGGGTCCCTATCTGACCACGGGATGAGGTCTCTAGGGCCTGAACCCTGGCCAGGGGGGCAGAGGGAAGATCATCCGGTGCTCACCATGAGGAACTCAGTCTGAGGCTTGTCCGCCACCTCATCCAGCACCTTCTCCATCTGCCGCAACTGCTCCAGGTAAGAGTTCAGGCTCCCCAGCTCCCGCCGCAAGGCAACCCCTGCCTCACTCTGCACACGCTCTGCTTCACAGTCCAAGGAGCCCTCCAGAGCAGCCAGGAACTCCCGCATCTTGCCCAGCTGCTCCCTCACAGCCCCCTGGAACTGGCGCACTGTCTCCTGTGGGGTCAGACAGGCAAACGCACCTGGCTGGGGGCTCCCAGCCTGGACCCTCAGTCCCCGGGCTCTGCCATGCTAAGCCCCTCACCTCCACCTCCGTCAGCTGATGTTCCAGCACAGCCACGCTCTTCTCCTTGCGCATACATGCCTCCTGCAGCTGCAGCTTCTGTTGTGGGAGCTGTGCCTGGGGGGTGAGACAGAAAGAAGTGGCGCTGCTGCCCTCCCCCACCTGAACCTGCCCTCTAGGACCCAGCCTCAATGCTAGCTCCCCCTCCAGCCAAGCTGGCATCTTGCCATTCCCCTAACCTTGTGCCTTATCCTCCACTTGCCTATGTAGGTCAAGTTCTCTTCAGCCAGAGCCCATCCCCTCAACAGTCACCCCCCCCAGCACAGGTCTTCATGAGGATGACAAACACAAACGTGATTGGGTCTCCTCCACCAGAGGGGTACGAAGTTGGCACACGCAGACTTCAGGGGGTTAGTGTAGAATGTGTGAAGAAGAAATGCAACCTCCTCCTATTCCTGGGCTTCACCCCATACTTAAAAGCAGAACGTCAGCGAAATACCCCAATCAGCCTCCCTGCACACCATGGGCTACCAGTCTGTGCCTCCTGAAATACAGGTTGTTGGGGAGGTCCTAATACCTCCTGCCAAAGCCACTTTTTGTTGGGAGGTGCAATTAGGAGGTTCCAGGGCTTCCAAACTTAGTTTCCTCTTCTGCAGAATGGGACCAGTCATCTGCACCTGGCTGATGGTTGCGCCAAATTGGTGGTCTCCTCCCACTTCCCGTAAGGGAAACTGGGAGTGCCACTAGGCGCTGTTTGCTGTTGAATGCGCGCCAGGTGGGAGCCAGAGGATTGACCTCTAGGGCTTCCCTTGACAGCCGCCACGGCAATCTCCTCCCCAGAAAGTCCTCCAAGTCGGCAACAGCCCCGCCTGCTACAGGACAGGGCAGGCCTGGTGGGTGTGGGAGCAAAGCGGTCAGAGGTTCAGAGGAGGCAGAGCTGAGCCATGGGGAAGAAGCGCGACGCCATCCTGGAGGCGCTGGAGAACCTGACCCCGGAGGAGCTCAAGAAGTTTAAGCTGAAGCTGGGGACGGCGCCGCTCCGCGAAGGTTTTCGGAACATCCCGCGGGGGGCGCTCGGGCAGCTCGACGCGGTGGACCTCACCGACAAGCTGGTCTCCTTCTACTGCGAGGACTACGGCGCCGAACTCACCGCAGTCGTGCTGCTCGACATGGGCATGCAGGAGGAGGCTTCACGGCTTCAGGGGGTCTCGTAAGTTTCCGGCACCCTGCAGATCCCATTCAACTACTCCTGAGTCTGGGCACATGGCCAGGTCTGGTCTCAGCCCTTTTTCCTCGCCAAAGACCCTGGCGTCCAGTCACGCCCCTCCTGTCCCCCTCCTCCAGACCTCTGGCCAGCCCCTCCCTGCATCTTAAGGCTCAGCTGATTCGGACCCTGGCACGTCTCCGACCCAACTTGCCCCTGGAGGGTCCTCGGACTCCTGGCGCCCTGTCCCATTTCACAAAATCTGCTCTCTTCGCAGATAAAGACAGACGTGGTTGGGAGTTTTGCGGTTTTCAGCAGAGGTGAGCCTGGGTTGGGAGGGTCCTGGGAGGAGGAGGCGCCTGCACTGGACTAGGAGACCACCAGCTAGCTCTGGGCTGTACTGTGTATGGTAGGAGTGGGAGGGAAGGTGAGGTTGGTCCCCTAGAGGAATCTGAAGCCTCAAACACGAGCCTGAGGACGGGGGTCTACCCCTCAAGGAGTCTGGGGGCCAAGGAGAAATGCAGTGCAGTACAATGCTGACGATGTTTGTGGGCAAAAATAACCCGCAGAAGCCCGCCCCGACCACCAGTTTTGAGAAGATGGCAGCTTCTCCACCGCGCCGACCAAGGACCGCCCGATGCCTACAGCCCCCGCCTGCTCCTGCCCCTCCCTGCACCTGTCGTTAATTCCAACGCAGCCCAATAAATGCTTCATGACAGACCTTCCTGGGCCTGTGTAGACATGCCCTCCCGTGATTTGCCACACGTATGGCATGGGCGAGCCAGTGTGCTCCTGCGTCTCCATCTGCCAATGTCTAGGTGACTTTTCTGGGCACCCGTGGGGATCGCAAACCTCGGGGCGCGCACAGCTAAGTGTAGGCTCTAGAAGTATTCAGGACTAACAGCTCCAACCAGAAAAACAGCCTTGCCTTGAGTCTCGGTGCCAGCCTGGGCCTGCGCACAGCGCTGCGTGCCCAGGCGCATGGAAAACCTAGGTTTGGGCCACACTGTTCCCACCCGGCCTACCCCAGCGCCCCTCTAAACGGCTTCCGTCTTTGCCAGGTTCCGCCTTCAGCTCGTCAGCCCCTTCTTCCTTCGCCGCCTCGCCCCTCCCGCGTTCCCCGAAACTCCAGGCGCCTCAGGCCCTGAAGCTCAGAGTCCAAGGTCAGTGCAGCAACCTTCTGATGGGCCCTCCCCCGTCCTAGAGTCCCATACGACCCCGACCCCCGCCGGAGGCCGCCAGGGTCCCAAACCTTGAGGCGTGTATGGGCTTCAGCTGCAGGCAGCAGGCGGTGGCCGCGGTGCGAACCCAGCGACGCACACACGCCGCACACGAGCGCGCGGTCCTGCTCGCAATAGATGCTGAGCGGGTCTAGGTGCTCCTCGCAGTGGCCCTGCGGCACCCGTGCCAGCCCCTCCACCAGGCGCGCCAGCTGCAGGTTGGTGCTGAGCGCCTGCGGCCGCGTGGGTGCCTGGCAGCACGGGCAGGGCGCCGTGCCGTCCGCCGCCGGCTCTCCCGCCGCACGGCTAAGGCAGGCGCGGCAGAAGCTGTGGCCGCACTCTGCGGTCACGGGCGCGTCGAAAAGCTGCAAACACAGCGGGCAGGACAGCTCCTGGTGCAGGAGGCTGGGCGCAGCCGACATGGCGGGCCTGGGTACAGGAGAGGTCGGTCAGGGAGGCTGAGCGGCCAGCCACCCAGCCCCAGCCCCAGCCCCAGCCCCAGCCCCAGCCCCAGCCATTTGCCTCCGCCCAGCAATGAGGGACGTTGTCCCAATCCCAGTTCCTAAACACAGAGCCCAAGTTGCAAACACAGGCTTACCCTCTGCCCTTTCTCTGTCTTCGCCCCAAATTCTCCAAAGCCCCCAGCCCTAACCTCCTCTCACCCCCTCAGGATCCCCAGCCCTCCCCTCGCCCGTATCTCCAGGCCCCCAGGATCCACTGGACTCACAGGTCTGGCTGGCGATCTTGGGCAAAAAGAGACTCCCAGGAGGCTCCGCCGGAGTCAGGCCTAACTAACCACAGCGAGGTCAGAGTTGTGTCTGAACACAGGTGAGAGGCAGGCAACAAGCTCAGGGCAAGGACAGGGGCCTCTCAGGGGCAGCTAGCAGTGGACATCACTGTGATGGGCAGCAGTGAATAGCAGACAGATCCTCCCAGACTGAGCCCTCGCCCCGGGACTATATTTAGCTGCCCTGCCTCAGCCTCCCATCACTTCTGGAAACTGTTCTAAAAGTGAAGACTTGAGTGGTCAGGGAACAAGCAACACATGTCAAGGCCACCTGTCCTGGCCTATCCCACTGTTCCCTCCCCTGCCCAGACTGAAACCAGAGCTCACAGCCAACAGGAGACAGGGCCTCACATACCACAGAGAAGAGAGAAACATGATTAGTAGGAGTCTGCCTTTTCTCCCCCACCCCCACTTCCAAAATCTCCAGCTTCCCCCTTCCCCAAATACGGCCACTCCTTGTCACGGCCCCAGCTTGTCACGTGCTTGTTTCCCAAGCTTATGGCTCTCCAAAGTCACCCTGACAGTATTATCTCCACCAGCAGGAAGACAGGACCTCAACCCACCCTGAAAGGTTTTCTTCCTTCAGAGCTGAGGGAAGAGTCTTTTTACTGTTTCTCCAGTGCCCAGCACAATCCTGGAATGCAAACTGAGACTCTCTTAATGTTTGGAAAATAAATAATAGAGGGACAGTTAAATAAATGAATGAACTAAATCCAGAGCCTGCGGCCCAGAAGTTGATTCTGCCCTGGGAGCTTTGGGCCTTCCTGTGTGCTTATCCTTGACATCTCAATTTAAATTTCATTCATAATAAAAACCAAAGTCTTCAGAGTGGTCTACATGGCTCTACCAAATGTTACCCCATTGATCTCTCATCGTGCCCCCCGAAACTCCTACCCTGTTGCCTCACTCCAGCCTTGGCCTTTATGCTTGCCATCCCCTCTGCCTGGAAAACTCTTTCAAACCCAAGCACTGCAGTGTTCCCTCCTTGTCCTAACTCAGATCTTTACCCACTGTCACCCTTTCAGTAAGGCTTTTCCTAACTCTGCGATTTTCTTTATTTATTTTTAGAGAGATGGGTAGGGAGGGAAAAAGAGAGGGAGGGAAATGTCTATGGGACGGAGAAACATCAATCAGTTGTTTCTCATATATGACCCAACCAGGGACCAAACACACAATCCAGGCATGTGCCCTGACCAGGGGTCAAACCTGACCTTTCGCCTTGCTGGAAGATGCTCAACCAACGGAACCACACAAGTCACGGTGCTAACTCCCTGGATTTAAATCTCACATCTCCCTTCCCTGTTTTACTTCAGAACATGTATCACCATCTGACGTGCAATATATTTTACTCATTGGTTTTTTTTGTCCTTCTCTTCCTACCAGAATATAAATGTGTTCACTGCTTGTCTCCAACTTAAAATAAGGTGTGTGGCACACAGCAGGTGCTCAATAAATGCCCAGCAAAGGAATAAACACAAAAACTCACTGGGTCCTCTTTTGCCCTCCTAGTCAGAAAGAAGGTACTGAGAGAAAGTGTGACCTCGATTTGCTTTCTCCCTTGACCATTCTCTGTCTCTCTCAGAGATTCCATTTCTGTTTCAGTCTCTTAAATTCCCCCTTTGGACTCTCTCTTTGCCTCTCTCTTGCGTGTTTAATATTCATGTTTATGATATTTATCCCAAATGTGTGCACAAGGTGTTCTGGACCAGAGACGGGCTTCTCATTAAATACGTCACAGTGAATAGTAAATGTCTGCCCCCTCCCCCACCCCAGGGTCTAGGATGATGCGATGAGAGCCTGGTCCATTATCCTATGAGAGTAGCCAGACGCCCCACAGGTGAGCAACAGGAATTATGTTTCCTGCTTACAAAGGGGAAGGAAGCCGCTGTTCCCCTCCTCTGCCTAAAGGTCTTACTTCAATTCTTTGGCAGGTATATAAATCTCCCCCAGGAGTCAGCTAGCTCCTCGCACATCTTGGCTTTTATGACAAGTCTCCAAGTTCTGGACTTGTCTCCAAGCTGTGGGGCTCATTTCTGGAATGCTTGAAGCTCTTGCATGTTGCATGCTGGCCTGCTTTGAAAGCTACCCCAGGCTTCCGGGCACCTTGGGGGCTTAACCTAAGAACCGTGTTCAGGCTATAATCCCTTGGGCCTCTCATGAAGAGATAAGAGAAGTTTTATTATTTTTTTCCATCAGAGCAATTCACTGTACAAATGACTCCATATTTATTCTCATGATAGGTGAGCAGTCTCAGGAAGCTAAGGCTTTTTACCCCAACCTGAGAAATCCAGGGAAGTTTAATTTCTCCACTCTGTATCTAAGCCCCTGATTTTTCTCGCTGCCATTTTTGATGGCTCAGACTTGGCCTGGCGTTGGCAAACAAGAGGGGCATGGGGATAAGAGCGGATCTGGATCTGGTCTCTGAAACTACAAGCCACTTCACTTTGTCTCAGAAAAGTCAACATCCCAAATGTAGATCTCACCTGGAGTTGCCATCACCGCCAGGCTGGGGCTGGAGGTTTGGTCAATAGGAGCCGGAACACAGGACAGGGAGGGGCAGTCAACTCACTCATTACTTCTCTGTAGGTGGGCCAGGTCTGACTCTGACCCAGGGAAGGGACATTGATTGTCTGCAAGAGGTTAGCGGACAGGAGGGGCTGAAAATTATGTCAGGAGAGGAGGAGGTGACGACAAGTTCTGCTCACCCTAAGACAGAGCTCTGCGAGGTCCCTTGAGTCCCCAGAGCTCAGAGGGGGCAGATTTTAGTTTCCTGCCAGGGGTCCAAGCTCTCCCTCAGGGAGAGCTTCCCAAGAGCTGGAGTGATAAGTACAGCAGGGGATGAGCACTCCATGCATTGGATAAATGCAAAAGAGGCCAGGAATTCCCTATCAGGAGCACTGCAGAAGCAGGTCCTGAATGCTGACATCACGAGCTCAGGAAAATCACCTTCCTCTCCGGGTTTCCGCATCTTCAGCTAGGATATAGGATAAGAAGGATAATAATGCCACCCCTGTAGGGCTGTCATGAGGACTAAACCAGACAATACAGACAAACGCCGGATGGTGGGCTGGCACCAAAGGGGTTAGGAAACGATGACTGACTCCACTAGCTTAAATCTTGACTCTGCTCCTCCCTTGTTGTGCAACCTTAGGCAAGTTATGTAACATGATTTTCTCATCTGTAAAATGAGGATTGTTTAAGGATTAGTATCAGAGTATTTGACTGTTATGAAGATTCAACAAGTTCATTTGTGTAAGGCTCCTAGAACAATGCCAGGCCCATAGAAGATGTTCACTAAGTGTTGGCTGTTGATGTTATTACAATTATTACTAATGGTGCCAATGAATCCTCCCGACAACCCTGTAAGGCCAACAATATCATCCCCACTTCACAGATTGGGAAACTGAGGCTCAGAAACTTTAGTAATGACAAAAGCACCTACTATGTGTCAGGTCTGTTCCAAGCACTTCACGATTCTTAACCCATTTATAATCTCATAACCTCATTTGTAACCTCGTAACACCTCCTCATTGTTCCTATTGTGTCCCAGGAGACACAAAGAGATGAAGCGACCTGCCCAAGGTCCTGGCAGTCTGTGGTCCGACCGGCCCCAGGAGGAGCAATCTGGCTCCAGCAGTCAAAGGGTTACTTTGCTGGTTGGAGGTTCACACCCAGGAAGCATTTTAACACCAACAGCTCTGGCTCTAGTCCAGGGGGCAAGGATGGGCCTGCAGTAAGACTGGAGGTTCCTTCCTACCAGGCAGGGCTCAAAGCTCAGAGCTTTGAGACTTCCCCCAGAAAAGGGGCCAAGGGAGACGTTAGAGGTGCCCAAGGCCCCTATACCCCACCTGCCCAGGGGAAACCACCCTGGCAGTCTCCAGGAATGATCAGGCTCTACCTCTACCTCCCTGAGAGACCCTGGGTAACTTACTGCCCTTCTCAGTGAGGTGAGTACGTTAATGACATAGGATGCAGACGCCAGACGTGGGCTGTGACCTCCTTAAGTCACACAGCTAAGAGCTGGAGGGTCTAGGAATCAAATCTGCGTGGGTCTGACGCCCCTTGTCCCCTGCTTTTCCCACTCTCCCATAATCTTCTGAATGTGCTTTATACATTCTGGAACATTCTGTGAAGAAAAGGAAGTTGTTAACATTACTGTTATTGCAATATCTGCCCCCTAATGATGTCTGTGGACAGCCTGGAGGAGGCACACATTTCCATATACATAATCCCGCCAACCACGTTGTCGATCTTTGAGGACATTGGGACTTTTAAGATGTTGGTTGGAATTAGGGCCTACGAGTCAGGTAGACATAGGTTCAATCTGTGTTTTCTCAGTTATTACCAGCATAGGCTTTCAGAGTAATTTCTGAAAACCTCTGTTTTCTCCTCTGTGAGGTGGGATAAACACATATAACTCACGGGGTTATTCAGAGAATTAAAGGAGATTATGAATGTTAAGTGCTGGTACAGTGCCCAAAACATAGCAAATTCAAAAATGAAAACTGTTGTTACTATTATTGGTCTTCCACCAGCAATTATCATGGGGTTGGGCAAGTAGTAGATCCTTAATACAGGTTTTTAGAATAAAACAGAGTCTTCAGAAACCTCGTGTCCTTCTGAGTTCCGAGTCTACAATGTTCGCATAGAGCAAGCCACCTATCAAAAGGTGTAAGTTGTTCCCACTCAGTTCCAGCCTGAAACCACTGTAGGAGTGAGGCTTCCAGTCCTAGGAGAGGAAAGGCTGCGTGTTCCCAGCGCCTCGACCATTGCCTCCCTGCGACATCACACCAAAGTTCACCACTTGCTCTGAGGCAGTGTCAGGTGAAAACCAGGTCTTCCGTGTCTCGGTCTGAATGTGTGCAGCAGGAATGTGACTGAGATTGGAGGCAAGCTTGGCCCAAAGGGAAGGGATCCTGGGTGGTGATATGCAGGAATAAGGGAAGAGGCACAGTGCCACACCACTGTGACGTGTCCTCAGCTCCCTCACCCCAGGAAGTCAGGTGTGAGAAGCCCACTTTCTCCTCCTAGTCATGACACACACTCTTCCAAGGGCAATTTCCTGCAGCTCCAAAGGTCCGGTTGAAATGTGTTACATTGGTTGCACTGAAAGCCAAGGCCCCCCCACCCAAACAAGCGTTCAAGTGATGCAGTCATTGGCCATGTGACCAACCGGATCTCTGCCCTGTGTAGGCGTTGAATTGGGCAATCATTTTTAAATTCTATGGCTCAAGTGCACAAAGCTTCTAAGATTCTACCAAATGTAAAAAGAACAGGTTTCTATGATTCTAGATTCTCAGATTCCTTTGCCATTGCATAAAGGCTTATCAAGGATGAGTCTGTGCCAGGCCCTGTGCTGAGTGCTGTGGACCGGAAAGGGGCCTCAATGAGCTCAGTTTGGTGGAGAAAGTAGAGGGAATGGGCACACTGTGTGGTAAACACTGCAGTACAGAGTAGGCGCATGCCGTGGACATGGACAAGCAATAATTCATTTTGCACAGAGAGGACAGAAAAGTCAACAGGGAAGAGTAGACAGGACAGGCTCAGAAGTTAAACCGTCAAGCTATGTGATCCCCTCAACTACATGACCTTGGGCAAGCCCTTTAACCTGAGCCTCACTCAGTCTTCTCATTTGTAAAACGGGGCTTCTATTCTGTACTCCAAAGGGACTGTTGTAAGACTTAGAAACAATGCACATGAAGGGTCATGGCCTAAAGGGGGGCTCCAATGTTTATTATTTCTCAGAGAAAGTGATTCTCGATGAATGCTGGAGCACAGGCTCCAACAAGCAGACCAAGAAGAAAACAAAGCCATGCAGAGAACAAGTGCCACACGTGCAGAGGTCCAGAGGCCACCGTGGTAGAAGGTGCGGCTGAGGAGGTTGACAAAGGTCTGAAGGCCAAACCAAGGGGCTTGGACTTGATTCTGAGGCGCCGAGAGTCATAGCAGGTTTCTGAGCAGGGGAGGGACAGGAAAAGGTGTGGGCTAGGGAGATGTAGCCTTCTGGCCACAGTGCGCAGAATGAGTTGGAGATTCTGAAAGGATGAAGACCAGTGAAGATACACAGTAATAAACAGCCATGAGCCAGGGAATACTGGCTGTTGGACCACAAGTGCCACCCGTGGGGATGTTGGCACATAGCACTACCCAGCCTGTGTGGGTCAACATATATGAGGATGGGAGCAGAGCCCTGCTGCCCTTCTGGAAGTTCTCAAATACAACATGCTGCAGGTAACACGGCCTCGATCATCCCTTCATTCAGCAAATCTTCACTGAGCTTCTGCTGTGCAGCATCTTCATGTTGGGGCTTCAGCGATGAACAAAACAATGTCCCTGCACTCACAAAACTCACACTCTGGTAGGGGGATGAGTGCCAAATACATATATATATATATAAATGTATATATGTGTATATATATATATAAATGTATATATGTATATATATAAGTGTGTGTGTGTGTATAATCTGTTAGGATCACATCACTAGAAGGAATGGTGATTGTTACACCCCAGGTGAGCAGGGAAAATGAAGGGTTCCCAGTACCCACCTAGGAAGAACCAGGGTTCAAGCCAGGGACTGTAGACCTTCAAGTCCACAGTCCTTCAGCTCCTGGAAGCTGCCTCTCTTTGAAGAGCTAATACGTAAAGCACACCTTTCCAGCTACTGGTATCCTCCCTTGAGCCACAGGGCCCATTCACAAAGATCTATTGAGCACTTCTATAGGCCGAGCACTGTTCTGGTTGCTGTGACTACAACAATGATGTGGACAGGCATGAGGACAAGCTGGCAGGAGAGTCTGGTGCTAAATAAATACAGTTAGTCACAACTTAGTCACGACTGCTATGAGCTACAACAAAAAAGTAGCAGGTGTTGGGACCTACTCTGAGAGGGATACTAAACCTGGTCTCCCTGCAGAAGTGACATTTAATTTGAGACTTAAAGTCTCAGGAGTTTGTCAGGCAAAGAGTGAGGGAACAGATTTCCAGGTTAAGGGAACAGCACGTGCAAAGGCTTAGAGAAGCAAAGGGGCCTGGCACACCTGGGGAACTGAGAGGCCACTGTGCTTGGAACTCAGAGGCGGGGAGCAGGGTGTGGTGCAAGACAAGGCTGGTGCGACCCACAGGGCCAGACCAAAAGGGCCTTCCCAGCCATGTTAAGAGCAAGTTAAGGATTCTGGGCACAGCTTGGGCTCCAATCCCGTGTCCCCTTCACCTGCTCTTCTGGGTCAAGCCCCCGGGGCCCAGACTGACTCTCCATCCACAACATTCCATCCAGTCAACAATTTTTTCAGTCCGTACAAGTGTCTCTTTTCATCACTTCCCAAGAAATTCAGCTCCTGGGACCAAGTCCTGGCTCTCCCAGAAAGCATTTGGCAAGGTTTCGGGAACCACCAGGTAGCCCATGTTATGTTGGAATATTTACTAACAGGATGAGCCAGTGTTATGCCCACTTTACCGATAAGGAACCTGAGGCTGAGAAATAAGCACACACTGTTCTTCATCACCCTTTTTTTCCACCTCATTTCTCCCCAGTGTGTGGATTTACAGGAGCTACCAGGTTCTGGCTGTTCAGATTTTCATTGTAACATCCTATGATGTGTGCGAGAGAATGCTAAGGTTCAGGGAAAAGTGGCGATTTCAGGGCTCTAAAATTCCAAGACTGAGCCTTGGCACTCCAGTAAACTAGGGTCCTGGTCTGTGCTAGCTAGTGCAAGCCTGGAGTCGCAGGCACCACCCATTAGCCCCTCTCCGCCCCCGAGCGGCCGTCTGGACCAGCAGGAGGATGGGTTCCTGGCGCCCCCCTCTCCTCCTGCCCAATGGCCAAGGAACTGACCAGAGGCTGGAGTGAGGGGATGCAAGCAGAGGGGCGGGACTGGGGGACCAAAAGGGTAGTTTCGGACAACGGAACCCACGCCCAAGGGCAACCAGCTGGGGCAGAGGCGGGTGTCGGGAAAAGGCGGGGAGGTGCAGGCCCCGCCCAAGAACAGACTTCCTGGTCTGCGATACCGGGGTTAAGCCGCAGTTGCCGCGGCGGGGAACCCCGGCACCATGGGGTGCACGCGCGACGCCATCCTGGAGGCGCTGGAGAACCTGACTGCCGACGAGTTCAAGAAGTTCAAGCTGAAGCTGCTTTCAGTGCCCCTGCGCGATGGCTACGGGCGCATCCCGCGGGGGCCACTGCAGTCCATGGACGCTGTGGACCTCACTGACAAGCTCGTCAGCTTCTATCGGGAGGCATATAGCGCCGAGCTGACTGCCCAAGTGCTGCAGGACATGGGCATGCGGGAGGCCGCAGAGTGGCTGCAGAATATCACAGGCAAAGGTGAGTGAATCCCCACCACGCCCTCCACCACCTCCTACGTCCTCCAGGATCCCCTCACTTACATCCAACCCCCAACCCAAACGTTTACCCCTTGGGCTCCTTCGCTTTCTGTTCCTCCTACCCTCTAATGAAAGCTCCTCCTGCTGGGAAGGGAGGCTTCCCGCACTTGGTCCTGACTGGCTTCCTGACCAAAGGGCCCCAGACTCCCAAGAGCCTGGAGGAAAGACAGAAATGGAAGAGGACCACTTATTCCCTTGCAGGCTCTGCAGCCGGGCCAGCGGAGATCACGGCCCCCACCCAAAAGGCAGCCGTGTCGTCAGGTGAGGCCCTCACACCCAAACTCGCTTGTTCTCGGCACCTCACCAGCCCCATGCCACACCACACCCCTGCACAGCCTGTCTGTTCCCGCAGCCAAGAGAACCAGGAGCAAGCCTGAGCCAACCCTTCCCACCCACCTACCCACACCCCTCCTTGGGCCCAGCCTGGTTGAAGGGGAGACCTCCTTCCACCCATCCCACCCTGTCTGGAGTCCTGGTGGGTTGCCCGCCTTGAGCCCCACCCCTTTAGCGTGCATTCCGATCAATTTCTGAAGAAAGCAGTGATCAGCAGGAACAGTCTCCAGCACCCACTCTGTGCCAGCTCATATGCTCTACTCTCTCCTGTCCCTAGGGCCGCACTTCGTGGACCGCCACCGGGCCGACCTCATTGCACGGGTCACAGACGTGGACGGGGTGCTGGACGCTCTGTACGGGAAGGTCCTGGCAGAGGAGCAGTACCAGGCTGTGCGGGTGGAGGCCACCAATCCGCTGAAGATGAGGAAGCTCTACAGCTTTGCTCCAGCCTGGGACCTGACCTGCAAAGACCTGCTCCTTGAGGCCCTGAAGAACACCCAACCCTACTTGGTGGCTGACCTGGAAAAAAAGAGCTGAGGCAGCAGCTGGAACAGGGGTTGGTGTGCTGAATGAATCAATTTTTTTTATACACAATATATTAGAAGAAACCACTGTGTACTTGTGTGGGCTTTTTCCTACTTCGAGCCTAGAAGCACATGCAGAGCTAAGCTACCTACCTAAATGCCACAGAGGCTCAGGGGAAATTCTACTTCACTGCTTTTCCTGGGCAGCAGGCTCCCCAAACACCATCCTTCCTGCCTCCGTCACCGTGGTGAACATCCTTCAGTCACCATTTATTGGCTCCTCCAGTATTATCCCAGAGGGTGTGCTCTAGGGACTAGAGCTAGCCCTCTAGTCTAAAAGTTAAATATAGGTACATACAAAGGATTTAGAACTGTGGAGAGCCAGATTTAACAGAAGGCATTTTACTTAGGACATTCTTTGCTAGCCTGCAGAGCTTCTGTGGTGCTTTTTCCATAGGGGGAAAAAGTGTACAACTAGAACAATATTCAGGAGGAGACAGCATCATCTAACATAGGAGACCACAAGCCAAATACAATTCTGGGGTTCCTTCTGGAACTACCAGCAGGCTAAATCACTCCCTTTGCTCCCTCCCACCACCTGGAGAAAGGAGTCGTAGGTTACAGGTTACACTATGCCCAGAAAACATGCCAACAACAAAAGTGAAACTAGGAATTCAAGTAGCTATTTGTTCTCATGATGAAATTAAAAGAAATATTAAGTACAGTTGACCCATGAACATGGGGGTTACGGGTGCTGATTTCCCACAAAGTCCTAACTCAAGTATAAAACTAGTCAGCCCTCACAAAATGTAAACAGACACAGAAAACAGACTGACAGCTTTCAGAAGGGAGGTTTGCAGGGCTGGGTGAAAATGGTGAAGGGATTAACAAAACCTCATAGACACAGATAATAGTATAATGGAAAACAGGGAGGAGTTGAAAAAGGATATGAGGGGATCATGGCAATGGAAAATTTGACTTGGAGTGGTGATCACAGAATATACTGATGGTATGATTATAGAAGTATACACCTGAAACCTATGTATTTTTACTAACCAATGTCATCCAATAAATTCAGTAAGAAAAAAAGCAGCCCTCCACACACAGGCATTCTAAGGAGTTGACCCTCCTACATTTGTTTGAACTGTGTGGGTCGATTGAAAAAGAAATCCACGTTTAACTAGACCCAAGCAGTTCACACCTGTTGTTCAAGGGTCAACTGTATTTTTCCAGGAAAAAGCACTTAAGTTTTTTCAGAGAACCAGGATGCTGGAACCACCTGCATACATTTTGCACTGAACTTATTCCTCATTGCGGGGAGGGGGGGGGGGGGGGCAGGACAAGAGTAGAGTAACCAGAATGCAGGGAGTTAGGTAATCTAACACCAGGGATCCAGGTGTGAGGATACAAGATGATTGGTTCTCCACCAGTCAGAATGATACACTAACCCAAAATGAACAAAGCTGTGAGAAGGCTTCACTTTGAATACCCTCACCTAGATGACACAATGAGTAAACAGTGTTTATTCCCCCCGCCCCCCCACACTCCTTCAAGGGTCTATGTAGGATTTCATTGTGCAACATTTCCCTATCCTGACTTACTGGATCACCAGACCAATAGTAGAAAACTAGTGGCTAGCTATAGGAAGCTCCAAAAAAGCTAGAATGTGGCCACTGTCATGGATAGTCAAATGGGATAGTTCCTAACGCTACTTGGGACCCCAGGAGAAAAGTTGAGCTTCCTAAAAAGTGGGAATCAGCCCTAATACCTCAGTATCCTGTGCCCTAGAGTCTTTTTTTAGCCAGCCAGCCAGCCACACCATAAAATGCTGATCTATCATTAGCCCTCTTCTTACCAAGTCTTCCTGGCCTTATTCAGTCTGTGTTCAACTGTATGTTCAGCAAGGACCTTATCATTTCTGAAAGTGAAATTGTCTTCCTTTCACCAACTCTGTATCTCAACATATGGCAACAGCAGCAGCCTAACCAGAAAGCAAGAAATCCTACTATGTCCCATAAAGTTCAGACTTAGTCAGTTTTGCAACCACCATGCTTTTCAACTTCACTGCCCCCACCTGGTTTATGGCTAATGTCTTAACTGCCTCTCACCTAACACTTTCAAGGGGCTGAGGGATAAAAACTGATCATGAAAATGGACTCTCACTTCTAACATTAGGATACCTAAACTCTCCTTCCAGCTTGGCCCATAAGGACCCCACCCAACCTCTTTATTTTCCTTTTCACACACCCCATGATCCCAACAACGCTATTTGCTCACATCCTATGCCCTACAACATGCTGGTCCCTTATTTCTGAGCACCTTGAAATCTTCTACCTGTCCTAGTATGCCCTCGGGTGTGGTGTCTTCCTCTGTTCCAGTGCACCGCCCATCGTGTCTCTGTGGTAAAACAAACCATATTATCACGGTGTATTTCCACACAGGACTCTAATGAGACTGAGCCCCATGAAGACATCTTTCCAACCTCTGTATGAGTGCCTTGCATATAAAAAAATAATAAATGGCAGTCACTGTGTACCTCTAGTGTCCAACAATATTTTCTTGAAACTATAGAAACCTAGTGTTCTCATGAGGTGGGGACATAGCTAAGACTTCCTTGCACAACAGATAGCCTTTAAAAAAAAAAAAAAAAAAGGCTGCAAAAACCAGCACAGGTGCCTGAGGCAAAAGAAATGGTTCTAATAAACAGCTCCACTATAAAAGGAAAAATAACTCTTTTAAAAAAACTGCTCCACTAAGTTAAATATTTTCTTAGGAACTTCCTTTCTCCCCTTTTCTTTCAGGGAGGGGTGGGGGGGTAAAAGGGGCACAGCAGAACTCTAGTCTTAAAACAGCACAACATATTGAAGGACACAAATTCCACATCCAAAGGATATGGCTTCAAATCCCTGCTCCACCCCTCACTAATTATGAGACTCAAAGCCTGTCTATGCCTCTACATTACCATCTATAAAGTAGCGGGGGGAAGAGCTTAGCTCATCACCTAACAGCAACTGGCCCACAGCAAGTACACAGCAAGTATCTCCAAGATGTTTGTTCCTATCCCAATAGCTTAGAATAGCATATGAAATATTTTTCTCGTCTCTAAACATCACGACTGAAAAAAGAACGAGCAGAAAAAAAGGCAGTGTTGGCTATGCCTGTGCTTACTAGGGTTGGGGACGGGGGAGAACCACATGCAGGTCACACCTTTCCATGAGTGACCCTTTTTTTTAACTCATAGCTAGTATTTATATTTGATTATACAATCAAAGTCTCCTTTCACAGGAAAGGCATCAGCAAAGTGTCTCTGCAAAACTTTAGAGCATGGCTCTAAGTGTGCTATTGAAACAAAGCTTGCACTCCACCTGGATCTACATACTGTATTAAGATGCACATGCTAACAAAATCGTCTGATTCATATGTATGTTCAACTTAGACACACTGCTACATAGAGGATTCGGCCCTGCCATCTGAGACTGAAGACAGGTTTGCAGATGCCCTCCCACATAGGGATTTGCCTTTTTACTCAGGGAGTCAATACACAGGATGGGCCAGCTTCCCATAAAAATCTAGAAAAAACGAAAATGAAAAAGCTTAGATTTAACAGGGAAGCCCCATCATAAAGGAGCTGCAATGCACTACACTTAACAGCTACAGGGAATCCAGGCAATTGAGACAACACTGCCACCCTGAGGTGCATGCAAGGCCTTACGTGGAAAAGCTTGATGCCTGCTTCCTTCAAAGGTTTGTTTTCCCACATCCACACTTAAGGATGCCTAAGCTTGGTTCCCCATTCCAGCAGAAGGAATCCATCTTAACCCAATGGTCCAAGTTCCTTCCCTGTCTCCAGTTCCCTTACCGGTGGCTCTCAACTGCTCTTCCTATTAAAGGAGCCCTTCTCTCTAGCACTATAGCCCCAAGATTTAGGGCTAAAGACACATCAAAATTCAAGAAGCTGAGAGCTCTACCCATCCGCAGAGGGCCATTTCCAGACCCAAACTCAGGCTCATGAGATGCACACTTTTCCTACTTCAATGTGAATTTTACATTCAATGGACTCCAAAAGCTCTTCTAACATCGTAAGACAGTCTGACAATTTCTATAGGCCCTAAAGTCGACTCTCCCGGCAAGACCCACTTGACACCTTCTCAGTTCTTATATGCCAGCACCAGGAACAAGACAGTTTTTGTGGAAAATTTCTTCTAAGCTAAAATTATTTCAAAATAAAGTTAAAAATGAAAGAGGCTTTCTAAGTACTGAGGGCCCAAAAGTAGGAAAGGAAACCCGAGTTCTGTAAAGACAGGAGGAATGGCTACAAATGAGACTCCCATGAGTTGATCCTCTTGCAGATCAGTATAGGAAGTTAGATCTGATTATAAAGCCCATGGTGGATCATTAAGAGACAGCCTGAAAATGAGAAGAAACATGCCTGAAGATGTGTTGAGCCTCCTAGGGGCTAGAACCTAGACCTTGACTCCTGGTTAATCCAGCCATCAATGAACTAAACTCAGCCCTATAACCAAGTTACTAAAACCTGGCCAGGACCAACATGTGACAGGAGGGAGGAGCTACAAGATTGAGAACTGGCCCTGCCCAGGTGGCCCAGTTGGTTGGCGCATCAATCCATACACCAATAGATTATGGGTCTGATTTCCAGTCAGGGAACATACCTAGGTTGCAGGTTCCCAAATAAGGGTGAGTAAGGGATGGAACCAATTGATGTTTCTCTCCCCCCACCCCCCTTCTCTCTCTAAAATCAATCAACATATCCTTAGCTGAAGATTAAAAGTTACTTAAAGACTGAGAACTCAAAGAAGGTGGCAAGCAGACCGGTAGCACACCTCCCCCCACCCACAACCTACCCTCCTCCTTCTTCCTACTTAGCCTGTCTCAATTCTAATTCAAAATCGCCAGGCACCTAGAGCTTCAAGGTTTCTCAACAATGAGTTGGCAGCAGAACCAGCTTCTCAGAACAAGACATTCCCTCTATTTGTCTTTATCCCTTCGAAAGGCTCCCAAACTGGATCTACCCACTAATTAGCCCATTAAAGGACGTTAAGAACTTAATACCAATAGACAACA